ACAGCGATCACGCAAAGACAAGTCACACGCACCAAAGAATCGAGTTCAAAAAATGCTACCGTTTTGACATGATGGTCCAGGCTGAGTGGAGACTGATCATTCAAGAAACACGAAAGTGATGGCGAGTTGAAAAACGCTTTGGCCAGTCATGCCAGTCACTGTTGCTTTGCTAGGCTCTACTCAAACAGCGAAGAACTGAAGAAATTTCCTTATGGGTGTGCTGCAATATTAAGACTCACCCGGAATTCGCCTGTCATGCACTCCGCTTTAATTTTGCTCGGCAGATGAGATGGAGTATACCTTGAGTTCGAATTCTGTATCAGCGAGGAGAGCTCTATTTCCGGGCAGTCTCGGCCTCTCAAGCCTTGTTGCCATGCCGGGTATGTGATTAAATAAGTACGGACATTGGGATGTGAAGACACTGATATCTTACCCTCGCTTCTTCTGCTTTTTCTTCGTCACATTGAATCAGTTTGAAACAAAGACTGTCTCTGCAACGGTCAACAGGTACGTACGTACGAGGCAAGCAATATTGTCAAATCCCCAGTAAGGCTGCCTCATCGCTAGAGCGAAATCACGAGCGTGTGGGCACTTCATAGGGCGTTTAATCGGAATGTGTCTTATGTAGCAGGCAGAACCTAGCTCGAGGAACTCATGTGCCGCCTTCGTGCCGAATGAAAAGTGTTAGAAAGAACCGACAGCTAGAGAGATGTGGCAATTACTAATTTACAGTGTTTAGAGAGACAGTGGCCCGGCGATTCATCGGATTCATGCCGGAACTAGGGGAGTCGGAATGCTTCTAGGGTGAGACAGTTCATTGAGCAGAGATGCAGGTTAGGAACTTTGAGAAACGAAAGGTGCGTTGATCTGCCTTTGGCTTCTCTGCCTGGGGAGAAAGAACATCATGGCAAGACGATGGAGTCGTGCCGAGTGTCGGCATCTGGAACTTCCACGTGTCTCCTGGGCGCCTAATTTCTCAGTGACGCGGAACCATGTCGGACTCGGACTCAGACTCCAACCCCGCAGATCCACATTCTTCTCAATTCATCCCATCTTCCCCATTCAACGACACCGATGCAGATGTGATTCTACGCTCCTCAGACGGCGTCGACTTTCACGTCTATCGTCTGGTTCTCAGCCTGGCTTCATCCGTCTTCAGGTAGTCTCTTTCACGGACTTCCCACTTGCAACCTCGTTCTGAAGCCTTCAGGGACATGTTCGCGTTCCCGACGCCGCAATCTGAGCCCACAATCCCAACAGTACAGGTTTCGGAATCCGCTCTCGTCTTGGATGCGGCTTTGCGCTTCTGGTATCCCGGGGCCGAACCGACTGCAGTCCAGACATTGGATTTGTTGCGAGATGCCCTCGAGGTACTCGTTCTGAAGTACAACATGCGGTTTGTCATTCCCCTCGCGAAACAGCAGCTACGGGAATATATCGGGAGCGACCCCGTCGCCGTATTTTCCATCGCATGCCGCCACGAATGGAAGGACATTGCGCTAGACGCCGCGAAGGGATCGCTGAAACTACCACTTCGTGCTTTCGACGAGGCCCGTCCTGCGCAGCTTGAATACATGACCGCCGGGACATACCACACTCTCCTTCAGTACCACTCCGAATGCGCCAAGGTCGCCACAGCGGCGACGTCTTCTCTCCAATGGGCGACGTACCTGAACATCCCCGGCGCGGACTGTACGAATTGGACGGACCCCGCGGCGTGTCCCCGCACTGGGCATTGGAGTTTTGCACACAGCACGATGGCTCCGCTGACCGCATGGTTCTCCACGTATTTGGACGGCGCTACAGCCGTGCTCTCGCGGTGCCCCACCGCAAGTCTCGACAGCCCCGATCTACTGACCCTGCCGATAGCTAAGATGGGCCCATGTTCATCTTGTCGAGTTGATGGATTTTCGGGGCTGATAAAGTTCTTGGATGTTTTGCGGGCAAAGATTGACAAGGATATCGGTTCGGTAAGTATTATACTTGACCACACCGTCAGAAATTGAAGGCATTATAGATTGAACTGGAATTGAATTTCTGAAGGTTAGATATTGACGATGGCCGTAGATCAAACTGAGGCTGGATTCCTGGGTGCATAAATTGGTATGAGGCCGATGCTTCGCAGGGCGGGACTCGTACTTTCCTTACCTTTTTCTTTTTTTTGAGGTGCCTCAATATCTAACAGCGCATTGAGCATTGAACACCGGTTCGGTTGGTTCACTACTGAAATCAGAGGAGGCATGACAGAATCGCCGCCGCGATCAATGCGCAAGGTAGGGTGTGAATTAATTGTATGGCAAAGGCTTTGTTATGCTCCTTGTCGTCATCCAATCATGGAGCAGGACGTCATAGTTTCATGTCTCCACCTTAGACGCCGAAGTCTGCACTATTCTTACATAGCTTCATAATCCTTAGTACCAAACTCTCACGTCGCTTCTCTGCAACTATGCCCGCAATCCAAAGGATCACATTCCCCGTGTCGGACGCCTTCTCGTCCGACCACAATATCTTCAAATCGGCCACGGACATCGTCAACACATCGGCTGGATACATGTTGTACGCCTGACAATTCACAACCCCCCACAGTCTCGCTCAAGTCTTTTTATCACTCTCCCCTCCTTGCAGCTCTTTTTACGGGCTTCAAATCGAAGACAAAAAAACAGGGTACTTCGTCACCGGTACAACTCTGTTCCATCGAATATCTGTCCATCACTGACTTGCTATTCCCACATTATAGTATGGCAGTCGTCTGTTCCCTTCAACGCCTTCGCGGAAGGTACCACTTACACCAATTTCATGAACACGCTCCAGCAGGCCGCATCCGGGGACCTGGATTCTCACTACGTTGACGTCAACGCTGTGGATCCATGTATACCGCTGTCGGCACCTGTGACGGAGTTCGTAATATTCACCATGAAGGAAGGCATTCAGTCGAGCGATACATACGACCTCTTCGAGAGGCTCACGCGGGGACTCGATGCTTCCAAGGGCGCGCACCCCCCGTCCTATTGGGGAAGCAGTAGGAACAGGGCGGGGAACCATATCCTAGTGTATGTTGGATGGGATACGGTGGAGGTCAGCATTAGAATTGCCTTTGGCCATAGTGTTCCCACTGATGTATCAAATTGCAGGCACATTGGGAAGCTGTGAAAGAGGGAACGGAATTGCACGGCGTAGTGCAGGAGCTGCTCAAGCAGGCAGACATTCACATTGGACACGCGCAGCTCGTGAAAGCAGCTTGAATTCAAAAAATGTATGGTCCTTGATGTTGCGCGACTCAGTACATTTACCGTAAGTACGGACACTTGGATAAATTTCAGTCGAACCTGCGAAATAAATGACTCCAAACGCACTAGACTTCATGCAGCCGCTTACACTAAATTTCCCCGTTTGCAGTCAAAGCTTTGCTGCCACTGCCTTTCTGATCAGGAGGTTCGACTCGTTCTCTGAGTCTTCGAATGAATGTACGATGTGTTTAAATCCTTCGACGTGGTTGGCGTGGCTGAGAGTGTCGAAAGAAAGGATCGTGATCGGAAATACGCACTCGTCTACTCGATCTGATATCGTGCGGAGTTATTGCCAGCTCCAATTGTCCTAAAGACGAACACAGCTATCTCCGCTGGACGACGAACTCGCACATCTTGTCATTGATGTCCCAACTTTCAATCGTATCGCACGCGAGATATTTGATCTCCACGCATCTAATCTCTTTGGCATGGGTGACATCATCGCTATTGAAAAGATGCTCAATATCATTATCAAGGGGGACAACAGTCTCAGTGCGTGCCGATCGTGCGAGATGAAGGGGCGGAGAAATGTCGCCGGTCATGAAAAGATTTACTACATGCCGCTCGCTAAACCTGGTAACGACGGCCAAGTGCGCGGATCGTGGGATCCCTGTGACTTGCCTTTGCGGCTTCCAAGTTGTGCTCAATAAAATTGACGATGCAGTCCTACTTGGCAACATGAAAAGCCTTGTCAAGTATCACGGAATCAAAGGGTTACCTGCGTAGAGAGAATGGATGTCCACTAAGATGGGTGTTGTGGATGGGCCTTTCCTCCGCCTGTCAAAAAGCCGGTAGGAATCAGTGCAAATGCCCAATGCGATGTCATATTTGTCCGAGAAGTAACGGTGAGAAAGCTCATTTCTATCCAACACAATGTTACGTGTGCAGAGCTGCTTGTAGTGCTCGCCATCGAAAACATCTGAGATTATTCCGGGAAGAGGTTTATAATTGTGGCGATAGAGGAGTTGCTCCACTTTTCTGGGACTTATGACATAGGCTTGAAATGCAGGTGCGCTTCTGATATTTGAACATGAGCAGAGAATGGGCCGCAAAAATTCGATCTCTCACCCATGGCCCAGGCCCGAATCGAACGGGCTATCAACCTGCAGATCCAGCGTTATCGCCGTCAACGGAACACATGTACACGCCCTGATCATATTCTCTACACAACCACCCTGCATATCGATTTGGGAGATGAGCAAAAAGGAGCGGCAAAATTTGATGTGTGCTGTAGTCCACTCCCACCCAGGCCGCAAATGTGTGGACAATATGGAGAACATCTGTATCAACTCTGAGGCAGGAACCTTGGAGAGATTATGCCGGTGGTAGATCCTGCAATATTCTGGTCATATCCTCACCCTCATTGAATGGAGGCACACATCATACACATCTGAGCCTTGTTCATTGGATAGCTAATTGGTGTGTTTTTTTGCGAAGTTCAGTGAATGGTGATCTCCGGATGATGGAATCAATTTTGATCACTGGTTGCAATTCCATCATTTGCATGTTCAACCTTCCCCCGCCGTTCCCTTGTTCTAGAAAATTGGAAAATATTCCTGGTGCTGCTTAGAGTGGTCCCAAAGCTCTCCCTCAGCCGGCAAAACGTAAAACGGACAAGTGATGGGAAACCAACTATCTGGCGCTGACCATCACTTTTCGCTGATGCTGGCTTCCAGGCAACAAAAAAGCAACCACGCAAACTGCAAAAGGGAATGGACGAATCCGGAATTGAACCGGACACCTCTCGCACGCTTACGTAAACCTTGACGCTATGCTAAGCGAGCGTGATAACCAACTACACCATACGCCCGGATGGGAAGTGTCACTCTGTCGCAGTCCCGATGGCCTATGCATGGACCTTTGTATCCAACCTGAACCCTTCATGCTCGAATCCCTGCCAGTTGGCGACAGAAGAGATACCAGATATGTTCACCATTATATTGCCACCAGGTTGGAGAGTGTCTTCAACTTGACCACCGCACAGTTCTTTCCGATATTCGATTTCGCACAACGAGACCAAGGTTGGATTGAGTCGAGACAGAATGTTGTCTGGCAATATTTAATTCAGAGGCTTGTCCTTCGATAAACAGCTAGTGCTGAACACTTGGAGTGGTCTGTTAATGAATGGAAAAGCCTTGCCGGGTGATTGGACTTACACAAAGGGGGTTTTAGTGGTTATACAGCCTTTGACTGTAAGAATTGGTATTGGTTAGCATTGCTGTTGTTTTTATCTTTGGCTACCATGACTTGGCCTGCGAGTGAAAAGGACACCAGGAGTGTCTTCATCGCTCCTCTTCCTCACTCCTGGGAAACAATAGGCAAGGTGTTGATGTTTTAGGTATACCAGCTCGGAGGTGCAGGGCCACACACTGCTCCTGAATTAAAACCAATTGGTCCAGACTCACACAGGAGACACCTGTTCGATTTGAGGCTGAGCCTTATTTTGTTTGACTTTTTCTTTGGTTTTATCGAAATACAGCACTCCAAATGGCCCCATGGTGAACTGGCAGTGGTGGAGGCAAAGGCTGTAACACCAACCACCTGATCAAGAAAAAAAGAAAGAAAAAAAAGAATCATGGTCAATATATTGCAGATTTACTTCCCAAATGAGATTGAGACGGAAAACCTCTTTTCCCGCTTGACTGGTGATATTGGCCTCTCTGTCTCCTAGAAATTTGACCACTGCGCTGTGCTCCTACACCGCTTCAATGTGCACATCTAACTTCTGCAAATACCTGCACTGTATGGCTTCAAAGCAACAAATTCACATCAAATCTTATCGGAGAAGTGCACAATGAAAGGGGAAAAAAAAGTGATTGAATTTTTGAACAATGGACAGGCAAGAAATATAGTGAAGAAGAGATGGCAGGCACGACATTTCAAGGCTTTCATTGTTCCAGCTCGGGCCATTCACAGTTGAACAAAGCACCACTTATGTTCCTTCTTCCGTGGCTTGGGGTGAGCCTCACCTGCAGACATATTATTATATAGTAAAGGTGAGAGCAAGGAGGTTGAGCTTACGATGCCAAGTTCGGCAGTCCAATCCTCGTCACTATTGGCCTCCTTGACCTTGAAGGAATATGTCAGCTACCATATAGCAGACACCTGGAATGCACAATAACCTTGTTCGAGCCTGTCTGCTGAACAGCAAAGGTCTTTACATTTATGGCCCAGCTACAAAAGAGCAGCCCCTGTCTCATTGGTCCCTCATCATACAGAAGATGTCAGAGTTTGCCCAACATAGATAGACTCCTCAATATTGACATTGATTTATGTGAAACCCGCCCTGATCTGCTTTCTTGAGCTCCCACTGTGCATGTATTAAAAAAGGTCCTGTTTCAATATTATGCTGAAGATCATGCAGCATACCATGATGCGCCCTGGCGACTGACCTTTGTTTGCCACGGCTACCTGATGACTATTCTGGTCGGTAGGATAAACTGGGGTGTTTGTTGCTACACTGATAATATGATAAAAACCCTCGTCAAGTACATTGAATGTGTGGGTGGGACCAACGGACTGGAGAGGCAGTCCAATATGAGATTCCAACAAGCCAGTAGAGACTCAAACACACCATCCCGAAGTTGCTACTGCAGGAGGTTCGCATGTAGGGGATGGCACGGATGGAGCTGACAGCAACGAGGCCAAAGGCAAGGACTTGAAAGAAGAAGAAGATCTTGTGGATAGGCAGAAGCAGACTCTGAGAAACAGTGGTAGATGTGTGCACTTTGATGGGGAGAGCACAAGGAGAGGCCAGCAGAGACCATCTCCTTTATACACCTGCTCATCGGCAATGTGCGAGAATTACAGTCCAGTGGACTGCGACGTAGGTGGGCGTTAGGTCCGGGTATTCACCGGAATGTTACAGCAACGACAAAAGCGTGGCTGAGAATTGATAGGTAGAATGGATTGATTGCGGATTCAAGTTGCGGGTTTAGGAAAAGAAGAATCAACTTGGAATCCAATAAACTAGAAGATGGAACATGCCAAATGAGATGAGCAGGCAAGAGGTTATACGCGATGCGAGCAAGCTGAAACAGAGGGGTTCGTAGAAGGATGGAGGATTCAAGCATAGTTCTGGCCAAAAATACAATACGGTCAGATGTATTTTTATCCAGACAGATGAACACGAACCAGTTCCAGAGTCTCTCTGTGTTGTATCATTGATCTGTTAGTTAGCAAGTTCGGGTTGGAAAGTCCGGCGGAGATGTCTCAGTCCATATAGGAAAAGACTCCTTCTCAATGGATGGCTTACAGTGAACATCACTGGGCAACTCAACTTCAATTCAACATCTATCTGCGCTGCTCATCCATTCCGTGCTGATATCTGCGCCGGTTCTTCTTTAATCCATGCATACTTCTTCCATCTTTGCCATTGCTCTTGCTCTTTCTCTTTCTCGATCCCACTCTCTTCCGGTCCAACTTTTCTACGGTTCAATCCAAAATGTCATTGCACCGTTCATGATCTATGGTTGCACTGGTGGTAGGCCAACTGTCTGTCTTGATCTACTTATCTCTCTGCTTTCTTCGGCGGCCAGTGTGCACTTCATGCCATGTTATTCCACTGATCCCTCTGACTCTGGCTTTTATCAGTCTCTTCCACCTCTCTTCCGTCCTCAGAGGCTTCTGACTAGGTTCGAAATTTATACGAGTATAATAGGGTATCATATTATCCTTTCCACAAAAGGATTTATGCAAAAAAACTCCTCCGAAGCCCTCAAAATTGCAATGTGTGTGACCGTATTTCACAGCAGGGAAATTCACGCCGAATGTTCCATCTTTTTCACGAAATCTAACTGGCTGGAAGTCCGGAACGCGCTCGTAGCTTCATGAGGGTCCTCCCAAACACTTATAGAGAACTGTCCAAGTGCAAAGGAAACAACTGATCGCAAAGTAGATATCGTTCGGCGCTCGTCGAACGGATCGGGGTTCAAGAACTCCATAACAAAATCATTATAATTCAACACTGGGACTACACCCAAGTCGGGCAGGACATACGCTCTCAGGCGAGGCATTCAAAGGCGACCGTCTAAACAATCCCGCTCGGTCGTCAGTTCTTTCTCTACATCCCCAAACGAGCACATACCAGGTCGTTGAACTCGAGGTTCACGAGGTTTGGGACGTTGCCGTTCAACTAAACATATGTTTAATGGCCAATGCCGGGGTCGGTGGCTAGAGTTGGAACTTACCGTGATTGATTTACCCGGGGCTCGCCCACACTCAGTTTCGCTGTGTAAATAAGTGATCAGCACAACGTGGCTCGTGTCCTAGACCTTGTGAATTTGACATACTTCCACAACGTGCACCGGATGCCATTGGCGATCTGGACGCTGGAGACCGACGAGACAAACGGTGGGCCGAGCGGGATGCAGCCGGTAGGCACAGTGCCGAAGTACGTGAACTCTATGTCAGTGAGCAAGGAGTTCCAGCGTACCCGGCAACAGCGCACCTTGGCCAAGATAGTTGACTGACAGCGATTTGAGTGCCTGGAGAAAACAAGTCAAGGATGGACGTACTGTCCGTGAAGAAGGTGATCAGAGCAGAGTCACGCTCCTGAACCTGGATAGTGGGTGTTCAAATCAAATGTATACCGGGAGAACCTGAGCTTACAGCGGCGGCTGCAGCAGAGGTCGCAGCAGCGATGACGGCGCAGAAGAGAGCAGCAAAGCGAGCCATGAAGACAATGTAGAGAACAGGTGAGCTCAGGAGAAACCCAACCTCCAGGCAGCAGGGCTGAAGATTTTATAGTCAGGCCTCGGGCTCCTTATGGACTAGTTTCATGAACCCAGTGGCAACCTGAAACAACCACAGCGGTCGGCGTAATGGTGAGCTAGTGCGGTGGTGCTTACCCTGGGTAGCCTGGGGGTGATTCAAATCGTCCCGCTCCCGCACTGGCCCGTTGATCGCCGTAGCGACTTGGCTCCGATTCAGAACTGTACAGTTAACTCGCCGGTTTCGCCGTTTGACAGGGGAAAATCAGCTAATCATGTCTATGAACTAATCCTACCTCGAAACATCATTTTTCTCTGCCTTCCTTGAACCCTTGCTCAGCGAGCTCCGGCCAATTTCGAAATAGCGCGTGTTACGGGGTCAAGCGGGCTGCAATTGGAATTCGATTGGGCCGGTATGCGCGTACTACGGTAGATTGCGTGATGTCCGCAGGAAAATTAGTTGGCCGCTATAAAGACCGGCTGAGGGGCGCGCTTATTCGGGGAACTGCTTCGGTTAAGATTCAGATGGGTCAGATCCGGGGACCAACGCATGAGGGCGTGCCTGGAAATTTCTTGGCGTGTCGCACACCCAATTGTGCGGGAAAGCCAGCTGGTTGGGGATGTTGAGCTCCATGGTATCAGTTGATAATGGAGGACCGCCTACCTCTAAAAAATGAGACTAATGTTGTCAAAACTCCAAAAGTCGAGTCACGACTTAAAAAGTCGACTTCGGGGCGCACTCGACTCGACTCGGCTCGACTTGATCTCATCAAGTCGACTTGAAGTCGACTCAGGTCGACTCAAGTCGATGAAGTCGGGGTTTTTTTAAGGGAATTCCTGCACAGCCTGTAGTTATCGCGGAGCATTGAATAGAAAGTAGTATCATTTGATTCCAGTCATCTGATCCATATACAAGTTACAAATACAATTTCAATGCTACTTTCGTACCTCACTATGCACCAACTTCCTCCTCCTGCATGAAAATATTGTCTGCCATGTGAAAGCATTCTTTGATTGCCTGTGCAGCAGTATTCCGATCTTCTTCATCGGGTGCAGCAAGCTGTGGGAGCCAATCTTCATCGTTGTGCGGAATCAGAGG